AGCAGACCAGGTGAGCAAGCACAATGAAAAAAGGCAACGGACACTGCCCTTAGAATTTAAGCTGCAGAAAGGAGTGGGGATTGAGGCAAACTGGAGCCATCCAGCTGACTGCTACCATGTAAAGGCAGGCCCCCGTGCTGTCAGATCTTCCGATTTTTTAAGAGAAGCCAGAAATCCCTATTTTTCTGTGAAATCTTACAAATCAGTAAATATTAGCAATTACAGTGATCCGTAATTAAAACAAAGCCAAACCAGCACCTTGGTGGGCTCCATCTAACCCCCACTTTAGAACTGGCATCTAAGACACTCAAGTTCAAATGTTAATTGAGCCTACTGTGCGTGAGGCACTGGGTCCTGGGAAGAGAGAGATGGATGAGACTTGGGTTGACCCTTGCAGGATAAAATACAAGCAGTCAAATGTGGAAGTTGGAGGGCTCTGTCTACCTGAGTATCCATTTGAGACAGGTGAGTGATATTCATCCTTAGAGATCTCTGGAGAGAGGCTTCAACGCAGCTCAAAAGCCATTCCAGTGCTTCATGACATTCTTCATTCAACAAATGTTTACTGAGCACCTACTATGTTCCAGGCACTGTTCTAGGTGCTGGGATTAAGGCCATAAACAAACACAGGCAAAAACCCTTGCCCCTGTGAAATTGCCCTTTTGGTGGTAGTTTACAAAGAATAAAAAATTAATTCATTCATTAGTTAATTAATATTTGGTGTATTAGATGGTAGTGCTATGGGTGAAAGGGCAGGGCCTATTGGGGTAAGGGGTGGGCTGCCTAAGGTGACACCTGAATAAGGGTTTAAAGCTGAAGGAGCATTCCAGGCAGGGGAAACGGCCAAAGCTGTTTCCTGAGGCAGGTTGATAGTCAGTGCAACTTGAGTGGAGTGAGACAGAAAGTAGCAAACAACAGGGTCAGACATGATGGGGCCCACCGCTGCCAGGCCTCATAAGCTCTCTAAGCCCTTTGGCTTTTATCCTGAGGAAAGTGGGGCTCCACTGCAGGGTTTTAAGCAGAAGGGGGACAGGATCCCTGTGGCTGCAAGGTTGAGATTAGACTGGAGGGGTCAAGGAGGGAAGTAGGGAGAACAGAGAGGAAGGGATGCTCAAATCCAGGAGTGAGCCCATAGCTGCAGACCAGAGCAGAGCGGTAGCAGGGAGGCTGTGAGAAGCAGGCAGGTTTAGAAACACGCTGAAGGAAGAGGCAACAGCATCTGCTGACAGATCAGACGTGGAATGGGAGGGAAAGAGGAGAGTCGAGGGTGATGCAGGCTATTGGCTGGAGCCTCTGAAGATGGGGCTGCCGATAACCAAGATGCAGAGGGCTAGGGGAGGAGGGTCCCAAGTTCTGTCTAGGACCTGGTAAGGTGGAGATATCAGTTCCTAAAAGTTGAGTGTACAAGTTGGGAGATGTTTCATCCACCACCATGGTCCAAAGGCACCCCAAGACCATCACAAAGGAGCTGGTCCAGGGCCCTCATTAGTCTCCGCCAAACAGGCCAGCTGTAGCTTCCTCCTGCAAGGCCCAAGGGCAACCCAGGAACCCTGAATTAGGCCTCACCCAGCCCTGACCTCTCAGAGGTTCCCCTTTTCTCCTCCCAAAGCCATTTACCTTGCTAACTTGGGCCCATCACACTCCCATTCTGGGCCTCAGATTCAAGCTGTGTGAAGTGGGGTGAGTGGGGGGAGGCCCAGTAGTTCCAGGGTCCCTTTCAGCTCTAACGATCCACAAGGAAGGGAGAGGTGGAGAACGAGAAGGGGGTTGGGGGGGCGGGGAAGGGGAAGGAGAGGAAGGCGAAGTGATGAGTCTGAAAACCAACAGATTATTTGGAGGACGGAGAAAATGTTGGCTTTTCATATAGTGTTGTAAAGCCAACCTTACCCCAAGAGGAATTTCTAACAGCTTCTAAGATAGTCCCCTTCTGGCGCCCCTTGGTGGCTAATTCAAATACTCAGCGGTTTATTGAGTGGGAGGATGGCTCAGAGTGTCTCTGTGGCAAACAGCACCAGACCACATAATGCCAGTAAGTTGAGAGTTCTAATCGGTGTCGACTGCTCACAATTACTGAGTGCTGACTGTATACCAAGAGGCCACCTTCTCAGCTCCTTGTCAAGGACTGGCTCGCTATTCACTTGGTACTGTGATCACCCCCATTTTCAACATGGGGAAACTGAGGTGGGGGGAAGTACTCCCCCAAGCTGCAGAGCCAGAATTCCAACCCAGGGAACGGGGGCACTTGCTCTGAACCACGGCACTGCTTACTGATTCGTTTCCTCTACTTTTCTACATTTTCCAAGTTTTCTACATTGGACATGCAACCTATTAATAAACAATTTAAAAAAATAATAATCAACTCGCAAGGAGAGGCCCAGGCTCATTATCCCATCATTCAAACATCAGCCACAGAACAGCCCCTCCTACCCCTACTCCAGGCAGCCCCAACTGTAAAAACCCAGCCAAGTGTGGTCAACTCAGCCCCTATTTTCCATTTAGATGACTAACTTTCTCTTTTTCACCCCAGAGCATTTGCCTGAGTGAAGGCAGTAAGTCAGTAGGACTCTCACCCTGGGCCGTTTCCACCCTCTGATTTTTCTGGAAATTCCCTGGATCTCAGAGGCAGGCACTGGCCCAGGAACAAACCCCTGATTTCTAAACATGACCTTGATCAGGGGCATGAGCGGGTGGCCCGATCCCATCCCCACCAGCTGAATAAAAAGTTGGGCCCGAAGGAGGGACAAGCAACTCAAAACACACAATTTCATCTTTGGGTTTTTTTCCCCTCAACTTCATCTTTGGAAAGAATGATAATAACCACTGCTCAACTCCAAGCAGGGCCCTAGCTGAGCCACATACAAGACGAACTCATTTGCTCTTCACAATAACCCTAGGAGGGTGGGACATTTTTGGCTCCTGCCCCCATGTGACAGATCAGGAAACCAAGGCACGGAGAAGCAAAGTGGCTTGCCCAAGGTCACCCAGTTATCTACCAGCTGCGAGGCCGGTCTGTCCTGGCCTTGAGCGTGCAGATCTAGAAAACACAGAAGCTATCTCTTTTCGGTTACATTGGGTTTCTTCTGCTGCCTGGAAGTTCTCATGCCCCAGCTGCACCCTCTCAAACTCTGGTTCCAGGGCACCTCCAGAAACTGGGGCACCCAGCAAGTCCAGGTGTCCAGAGGGAGGCACGTCTGCAAGGCCAAAGGCTGTGGGAACATGGAGGGCCTGGCACAGGTGAAGGTCAATCACCTGGCAATTTCTGTAGCAAGGACAAAGAAACCTAACTGGTTTGCCCAGGTGAGCGTCTTAGGCGAAATAAATGGAGGACACCCCGCAAACACCTTCAACTTTGGAAAACCTCACTGGTCATCCATCCAATACATCCTGATACAGAACCTAATGGATGGTCACATAGATTTCCCCTTCTGTGATTTAGAAGAAACAATACTCCAGAGTCCACAGCGACACCAGACCACTTGGATTCTTGCAGAAAACATCTTACTGCTATTACACTTGACACAGAGAGCAAGGACTCCACAGGTTTTCCTCACCGGTAAATAGTGCTGTTTTGCAAATGGCCTGCTCTCCAATCACTCCCAGACCCTGAACAGGCAGTTGTTTCCAGCCTTTGAGCAAATCTCTAACCCCACAGGCCTGAAAATGGGAGGGATACCAAGGTGAGTTTGGTTGTTCTACCGAAAGGTCTCCTCCCCACCCCCAAAAGAAAGCCTTCCCATGAGGCCCTGAAGGATGACTTTTTCAACACTCCAAATGCAGCCTGGAAGGAAAAAAGGACCACAAAACAGGACAAGAAGGTATTTTTGGATACTAATCACCAGCTGGAAGGAGCCAAGGGTGCTTCTCTCTCCTGATGCCTACACAAAAGTGGAGCAACGTTCGTGTCCAGATCTGCGTATTGTGTTGACGAATCATCAACATGGCCTAACACAGACCTGCCCTCCTGGAACAAAGGAGGAAATCGCATTAAAAGGAAGTTCAAGCCACAGACACTGGGATTTAAACCACAGGAAGCGGAGTCTGGAGACCCAGCCAGGCTCAGCACTGAACATTCAGAAGAAAACGTGCTGAGGTCAAAACAGGCGGGAGGGTCTCAGAGAGAGGAGCCTCCTATGACAGGCGTGAGGTGGCACGCGCCCACGGGGACCAGGGTCCCCGGCATCCTCAGCTGCACCCCAAACCTAACCCGAGGGTCAGGTGAGGCATGGCGGGGCTGAGCAGCCCTACCTTCTTTCCTGGCTGTTTCTCAAAATTCCCCAATTCTTCCTTCCTTCCTCCAAACTCCCCACAGAGTAATGAAGCCGAAAGAAAGTAAAAGACGACAAAAAGATGTCACCACAGAAGAGCAACGCGGATGCAAAACAGGTGGGGAGACGGCGAAGTTCAACCAGTCACTGGGAAGCCCCTTTCCACAGCCTGAGCCCCTCCCCAGCTCAGCCCTTTGATTACGGGGCGTTCTTTGTGAAAGGGGGGGGAACCCCAACCCACAAAGGATGGGACAACTTCACCGGAGAGACAAGCCCCTGTACCTCCCTCCATCTCTGGCGCCCTCCATCTCTGGCGTCCCCTTCGCTGGAAGGTTATTTTTAATGGGAGAGGGAACCCCAAAACCGGAAGGACCCTTCCTTTCAGCTCCCTCCCCCAGGCTCTGGCCCTTCACCTTTCCCCGCAAACCCCAGGGCTGGGCACATGCAAATCACCCCCCCCCTCCTTCCCCCGGAACTGAATTACCCAAGTTTTCCCTCATCTGCGGCACTCCCGAAGGAGCCGGCCGCCGGCGGGTGCGAAGCGGGACCCCCCCTCCCCCAGGCCGGCTGCAGAGCGGGGAACGTGGCGCTCTGGTCGGTAGCCGGTGCCCGGGGTCTGCGGGCCCATCCGCCCAGCCCGGCGCTTTCCCCGCGGGGCCACGGCGTCCCAGCCTGCCGGACGCCCTCCCGCCCTCCCACCGCCCCACGCGACCCGCGAGGCCGCCGAGCACGTACCCAGAAGGGGTCGGAGCCATCCGCGCTGCAGAAGCCCCGGAGCGCCATGCGGTCGGCGCGGGCACCGGCGGGGCCACCGGCAGGCGCGCAGCAGCGGGGCGGCGGGCAGACAGGCCCGGGTGCTGGCAGCGGCGACTAGAAGAGGCAGCCGGGAGGGGAACGCGGCCGCAAGGCCTCCTGATTGGCCGGCGCGTCACGGCGATGCGGCGGCCACGCCCCGCCCCGGCCACGCCCCGCCCCGGCGCCCGGCTTCCCTCGCAGCCCCACAGCTGGGGGCCCGGAGAACGCGCTGGTCCGCCGCCTGGCGGGATCCCCGGTGCCCAGCCCCACCCCCACCGGGGGCCCCCCGGGAGCTGCCGGGACCCCAGTGCCACCCCCCCTCAGGAGACCACGTTTCAAATCCTACCGTAACCACCGTGAGGACCACAGCATCGGTAATGATAACAACCGGGAGAAAAGAAGATGTCCTGAGTCCTCCATGAGCCTGCAGCGCGCCCGACTCCAGCCATGTCCTCCCTGGGTCCTCCGTGTTATGTAGGACTTCCTTTTCGTGAAGGAAGGAAACAAGGAGCCATCAGGTTGTCTTTTCCGGAGTCACCAGGCTAACCCAGCCAGTGACTGCTGAGCTGACACAGAAACAGGAGGTGGGCACATGAATCTGTTGGAGAAACTGAGGCTCAGACAGGTGAAGTGATCTGCCCGAGGTCACACAGCTGCCAAGTTGTGGGAGTGGGATTCGAACCACCGTCAGTCTGACGCCAGAGCACTCATGGCGCGAGGGCCCCCATCCCCATCTCAAACCGCTACGGTCCCCACAGGTGTACAAAGCACTTTGGTGTTTTCTCAACCCGCTTCGAGCAGAACCTCAGGAAGTCACCTGGTTGTTGATCCTCCTCTTAGTGATAAACTGAGGCCTCCACATGTAGTAATAATGAACAGGCATTCACAGTTATGGGGCTCCGTAAGGCTTTGCTCTTGACAATGAACATGAATTAACTTAGGTAATGCTCACAGCAACCCCATGAAGGAACTACTATTATTACCCCTACTTTGCAGTCGAGGAGACTGAGGCTCAGCGAGGCAGAGTATTTTGTCAGGGAGTATGTGGACAGTAAGTGGTTAAACCAGACTTTGAACCCAGGCAGGCTGGTTGGGAAGGGAGGAATCTGTAATGCTAACCATTTTGCTATAGTGCCTCGGATCTGTTTAATGCACAGGCAGCCAGTGACAGAGGAACTGGGGCTGGGGCCTGGGAGTCCAGGCTTTCACTGTGACAGCAGCAATGCCTTTCCTCTCCTCCTCTATCCCTCACCTGATGTGTAGTTTCCATCACACACACACACACACACACACACACACACACACACCAGTTTCACCAACTAAGACAGAAACCCTGGTTGGATTTGAGACACCACCCCCTCTCCCCCCGCCTCAAAAGGCCAGATGAGGGAGAGGCATAGGATTGTTTCCTATGATTTTTCTTACTGACCCAGGTTTCCCTCAGGGTGAGTGAATTTTTCAGGGATAATTAATTACTTTCAGGTGATAATGCTCCTTGTACTATTGCTTTGACATTTATATTGGGTTGTCAGAAAAGTCATGACGTATTTTTCTATATTTTTTGTTGCAAAAATGCATCATGACTTTTCCAACAACCCAATATAGTCAACAGATACTTATTGAGCATCTACTATATACCAGGTCTTGCTAAGAACAAGACAAAGCTGCTGCTCCTATGGAGCTTAAACTGTTGGGGTTTCTTGTGGGTTTTTTAAGTATTTTTTTCATGGTAGGGGAACAAGTTAATCAAATAATCACATAAAGAGGGCCGGCCGAGTGGCACGATGGTTAAGAACTGGCTTGGGACGCCAGAGGGCCCCGGTTCGGATCCCACATATGAGGGCCAGTGACACTGCCCTCTACAACTAAGATGCTGAACAACAGCTCAGCCTGGAGCTGGGCAGCCATGAATCGCCGGCGACGGCAGAGGCTGCAGCCCCTGTGGCAGTGGGTTGCCATGGGCTGCCGTGTGTAGCCAGCAGCCAGTGTGAGCGGCCGTCCAGAAGCCGGTGACTGATCTGCCTCGCCCGGGAAGAGCGCAATGATGGTGCCAACTTGGGCCAGTGAAGCAACGTCCTCCACAACTAGACTGAAGAACAAAAGACGACAGCAACTTGTCTGTTCCCCTTCGCCCAATTCCCCAGTGCTGTTCCCATCCCCCAATTCCCCAATAAAAATCTTTAAAAAAAAATCACATAAAGAAAAGGATATGTACAGCTGTGATAAAAGCTAAGAAGAAAAAGGAGTAAGAGGTCCTAAAAGGGTCCTGGAGTAGAAGTCAGGGAAGGCTTCCTGGAGGAGGAAGCCTTTGAGATGAGATACAAGTGATGAGACTAGTTTTATGAGGCCTGGGTTGTGTTCTAGGCTGAAGAAAGCAGCTTATGGAAAAGCCATGAAGCAAGATGGAGATCCTTGGAAGAACCTGAAGACAATATGGGTGACAGGAACCCAGAGAGAGAAGCAGAAGAGATCAGAAGGGGCCAGAGCATGAAGGATCTTGTTGGCCAATGGAGGGATTTCAGCTTGGCCCTAAGAGCAATGAGGAGGCCCATGGTAGGTTCTAAGCAGGATGCGAGACAGGGTCAGATTTCTTTCCATTCTTATCCAAGCTCATTATTCATTCATTCTTTCAACAGATATTTACTGAGCAAGCATATGGAAAGGTGCTCAGCATCATTAACTATCAGGGCAATGCAAATAAAACCCCAGGGACATACCATTACATACCCATCAGAATGACTGAAATGAAATGCCAAGATGGGGAACAACTGAAACTCTCACTCTGTTAGTGGACGCATAAATTGGTTCAACTGCTTTGGGAACCGCTCTGGCAATTTCTCCCAAAGCGAATCATACAACAATACAGTGACACAGCAATTCCACTCCTTCCCAAGAGAACGGCATGCTTATGCCCATCAAAATACATCTGCAAAAAATGTTCAGGGCAGCTTTACTCAAAAGAGCCCAAAACTAGAGATGACCTAAAAATGCCTATCAGTAGCCGAAAGGATGAATAAATCGTGGCACACGATAGATGACTACCCAGCAACTTTTTTTAAAGGATCGAATTGTTGACACATGCAACAATGCGGAGGTATCCCACAAAATATCATAAGGAACAAAAGAAGCTAGATACAAAGGTACATGTTTCATAATCCCATTTAAATAATATTCAAGAACAGACAATATTAATGGATGTTGATTGAAGTCAAAATAACGGTCACATCTTTTTTTGGGGGGGGGTATGATTAGGAAGGGGTACGAGAGAGCCTGCTGGGGAGCTGGAAATGTCCTGCAACTTGATCTGGTGGTAGCTACATGGTTTTTAGACAGGAACACACACACATTTTAAAATTCATTGAGCCTTTTCAGCATATATTATTTTGTACTCTATTTTCTTATTGGGTCTATTGATTTGATATACTTGTATTCCTTTCATAAGTATTTAAAATTTTTTTATATATACGTAGCTCTATGTGCCATAATTTTAAATAAATGCACAAATGTGAAGCACAAACAAAATAAAAAAAAGTAAAATTCACTCAGCTGGATGCTTAAGGTTGCAATATACTTTATAAAAGTCATGCCTTTTATGGAAAATTAAAATAGATAACAAATAAAATATTTACTGGGGCTGACCATGTGCCAGACACGCAATTAGGGGCTATAGACACAGCAGTGGACAAAGCAAAGATCACTGTCCCCATGAGAAGGAAGCAGAGGTTAGACCAAACAAATGAGTATATCTTTTTCCAGAAGCAAACACTGAGGGTTTGAGGGATGAGGTAAATTATCCAAGATCCCACAGCTGGGATGTGGCAGAGACGAGACCCAGCCCTGCTTTTAATCATCAAGCCCTCCCTGAGCTCCCCTTTCTCTCCAAGCCCCTTCCTCTAAGCCCATCTGTGGCTCTACTACAAAAAGGGACAACCTCCAACCAAGCAGCTCTGGGACCTGGGCCAAACCCACCCAAATAACAAACAAAATGATTGTTGATAAAAATGCAGGATGCGAGTTGCAAGCATCAGTCACATTGGTAAAGGTTACCTGATTAAGTAAATCACATAGACAAGGATGCCAGAGATATCTTTCTTATTTTTGCCTATTATCATAGCACCCTGATCCTGTTTGTGTTTGCAGTACTTATCAATCTTTCTAATCACTTCATTATTTATTTGCTCCATATAGGCCTCCCCAGCCAGACTGGAAGCTTCCAGAAACTACTGCTGTCTCTCACCTTTACTGCCACCCCAGCGTCCTTCCTAGTCTCCCCGTCTCTGTCCCTCCCCACTGCAATCGGACAGAGCTGTACACAACAGCCAGAGGGGTCCTATTAAATCAAGAAAGCTACACCCCTGCAAACGGCTCTCATTGTGTTTAGTACAAGATCTAGCAACCCCATTTCTGGGTATACACCCACAAGAAGTGATAGCAGGGACTTGAACAAATATTTGCAAACTCATCTTCGTAGCAGCATTATTCACAGTAGCCAAGAGGTGGAAGCAACCCAAGTGTCCACTGGCAGATGAATAGATAAACCAAATGTGATCTATCCATACAATGGAATATTATTCAGCCTTAAAAGGGAAAGAAGTTTTGACACATGCCACGACAAGGGTGAATCTTGAAGACATTATGTTCAGTGAAATAAGTCACAAAGGACACATATTGTATGAGTCCACTTATATGAGGTTCCTACAGTAAACAAATTTGTAGAGACTGAAGTAGAATAGAACGGTGGTTGCCATGGGTTGAGGGGAGGGGAGAAATGGGCAGTTGGTGTTTAATGGGTACAGAGTTTCAGTTTGGGAAGATGAAAATGTTCTGGATGGAAAGCTCTAGAGGATTCACAGGGAAGAGCCTCTATAGTTTCAGAAAAGCAACACAGGTGATTTTGCAGAATACAGTGACGAAATAAAATGGAATCACTATAGTCAAGCTGCCAAATTCCTAGAACCAAGTAGGTTGAGGCCTAAGGAAACGACTCTATTCTTGTTTGAACTAGCCAGAGGACTTAAAGTGCTGACCTTTCCAGATCTGCGTCAATACCCGGATACACA